ATGCAAAGATTTGTTGTGGAATCAATTGTTAAATATGATTACAATGAAACAGCAATATTAATTACTGAACACTAAATTGAAATCACCTTAAAAATGTGTACTCCCTCCCATTTGTATATGTGAATTCATTTGTGTTTTTAATTGATTTTACCAAATCTTCTTAATTTTTAAGGACTATAAATTATTTTACTGATATTTCTTTTGCAAAACTCTAATATAGTACTTTCTATTTTAAGATAGTTGGATTTTAAGGTAGAAGGTTTAAATCTTAAAAAAGAAATATGTAATATAATATTATTAATGAAGATAAAGATACAGAATGAGTCTTCTATCATTTACAAAGCCTGTCTTTTAATATATGAATATCTTTTATATATATATGAACATTGTTTTTTAATATCCTTAAATACAGCTGATTTCAAGAAAGTAAGTTTTAATACATTGATTTCTTTTGTAGCTTTTCAAAAAGGGCAATGAAAAAAAACCCTAATAAATATTATTCTTCAAATCCCATTTGGCCATCATGGCCATTATTTTCTAAACTCTTTACATTAGAAGAAGATAAAAATAAGATGTTGACAAAAGTAGAATTTCTCAATTTAGGCTATGGAAATTTCTCTCAGAAATAGATATTGAAAAGTTCCCAAAATCTTAAAAATAGCTATCAAAACAGCAATCAGTGAAGCAAAACATATTCTTGTAACAATCAGTTCATGAACACCATCTGCTTTTTAATAGGATTCTGGCTTAAACTCTGAAACAAAAATATTTTAATAGAGTCTGCCTATTACTAAAAAAGCCCTCAAATTATTAAACAAGTCAAAAAGTAGAACAGAATAGTTCAACACTTCATGGCTTATGTACTTTTATGGTCATGTATTGGTAAAAATATTTTAAGTGTAGCCTTTCAAAGTGAAAAAATTAGTATGTGTTATCATTGATAAAGCATGAACTATTCTGAAAACTATCTTTTTAATAGCAATCTCATTAAAAATTCTTATGGTTTAAGAGAGATAAATCTTGGAATGAATTAGGTCCCTTGTACCTCCAAGTAAAAATTTTTAAATTTACCTTGCTATTTCTCCCAATGGTTGACATCACTTTCTCCTCTGACTTAGAAAAGAACATGATTAATTAACCCACTTTCTTGAAGTTACTGATTATCTGGAGTACTGATACAAATCTCTCATTGTATAGAAGAAAGAGAGGGGGCATGAAGAACATATTTTTGTGCTGTGGTCTATGAAAGTTTCATAGAAATGAAGCTATCAATAACCCACAAAACATACCAAAATACTGGATTAAAATAAATCCTGAGAAGATATAGTGTCATACATTAAGGAAATGGAAGAACAACGAGGAGAAAGCAGAAAAAAATACTGTAACAGTGAATTATACAGAAAGTGCAGTAGGATAAATATGGTTTTGCTTTTGCTTTTGTCAATACCAATAGAGTACAGGTAGGAGTTGGGAATTTGTGAATCCTTCAAAATGAAAACCTTGATGGCTAAAGAGGTGAATTTACACATCAGATTAATCAAATAAATTATCAAGAGAACCTATTATCAGTGAACTTAACAGACAAAAATCCTCATCCATATATAAGAACTTATATTCTGCTGGAGAAAAAGATGATGGTAGAATGTGATGGACATCATTATCCAAAGTACATGTATGTAGACACGAATTAGTGTTAATATACTTTGTATACAATCAGAGATATGAAAAATTTATGCTCTATATGTGTAATATGAATTGTAATGCATTTTGCTGTTGTATATAAATTGAAGAATTAATAAAAAAGAAAAAGATGATATTCAATGAAATACACAACATCTTTAAAAAGTGATCCATGCAAATTAGGGGCAGAAATAGAGACTTATGGTGATAGGTAGACATTTAACAGAATCAAATAAGGAGAGCATCTCTGTGGTGGTGAAATCTGAGCAGAAACCTGTACAGAGGAGTGAGACATGCAAAGATCTGGGAAGAGATCCAGATGTGAGCCCTGGATGGGGTGAGGTTGGTGCATCCAAGAACAGTTTGGCTGGAGCAGAGTGAGGAGCTGTGGGTGTCTGGAGAGTGGCTGAGGTGGTGAGACAGACAGACATCATAACATATGGGGCCCTGTTAAGAAATTTATCATATATTCTGAAATTGATGTAACTCTACTGGTGAGTTTAAGCTGCACAGCCAGTGGAATAACCCAATGTATATTTTAGAAAATCACCCTCATTGCTTTTTAGAGACTTGACTCTAGGGAAGGCAAGAGGATAAAGGGGCCAGGTTATAGAGCACAGTGGAAATAAAAACTGTTTGGGTTCTGGACCAGGCTGCCAGGGTTAATGTATGTAAAACCCAAATTATATTCCTTGCTATCTGGCCCTCCCTCAACATTCCAGTTCCATTTATAGTAAACTCTCTCCTCCTCTTTGCTGTGTATATATCCATCATTCTGGACCTCTGTACATTTTATTGCCTCTATTTAGAATGAATTCAATTTTTCTCATCATGGTACAACAGACATGTATAACCTTCATGCCTAGAACTTCCTCTTGGAGCCTTTCCTGACATTTTGGGAAAAGGAGATGATAACATAGAATCTTGTATAGTATAACATATATCATCCACACTGTATTATGTTACTTGTTTTATCTTAATGCCCAATAAACTCTAATTCCCCCACCCCCCAATTTTATTGGTTTGTGAAAATTTACAATCTGTAAACTACTGAGCTCTAGATTTCTTAAATTTACATGACTTTGACTACCACTTAGGAAGATCTCAGTACAGTTAATATCTAGTAATCCATAGTTATAATTAAGAAATTTAATTTAAAATAGTTTCAAAGCATGTCTAGACATTTGTATAAAAATTTAAAATTCACATCTTAAATTCAAAGTATCTAAAATGCTAAAAAAGTCTTTGATAGTTTCCAAATTTGTCTACTTTGTGCACAATAAATCTGACTTTATATACAGTTGGTTCACATTAAATTATGCATTGATTTTGACCATTTGGAAGAATTTCTGAATTGTGTTCCAAAGCTCAATACACCTAAGATTTTTCACACTCAGTATTATTTTATAAGTTTACTCATTTTTGATGACTAAACCATTAATCAGTATTGTTTACACAATCAGTAGTGAAACCTGTATCACCCTATAGTATATTGCCAAATCCAAAATGAATACTATCAGGAAAAATACTGGTAACTTGAATCTCTTTTTTAACTAAGTGCATTTGAATTAAGAATATATGGAGAGGGACTAGGGTTGTGGCTTAGTGGTAGAGTGTTTGTCTAGCATGCGTGAGGGACTAGGTTTGATATTCAGCACCACATAAAGAAATGATTAAACAAAATAAAGGTATTGTGTCCATCTACAACTAAAAAAAGATTTTTTTTTATAAAAAAAGAGTATATGGAGAGATATTAAGTACACCAAATATAAAAGCCTGTTTTTTTTTTTCTTAATGAAAAATGCCTGGAATAGGAATATTACTTTTAAATACTGTAAAAACATATTTTAAAATTTTCTACTCGACTCATTAAAAGAATGTATAGAATACAGCTATAAAAATAAATATCTACACATTGTAACTGAAATAAAAATCACTCCTCAAACTGGATAAAATCACAGTGCACCAATGGTTCTCTGACTAGATATGGTCTCTGAACCTCACTTGATGACATTTTTACTTTTTAGATATATTGTTTAATAAATAAGAATATGATAGCAAAATTCCATTGTAAAATTAGAAAATTAAAAAAATTAACTTAGTAATACGACTATCGATCTGTCTTTGTATCTACAAAGAGACTCACAGTGATATATAGTAATGTATTTTTTTTAACCCACAGCCAGTGTTTAACACAAATGGACCAGTGAAAATATGGCATTATCACAGAAACACCTATTTAGAAGTGTTAGTATTTAAAGACCTAGAGTTCAGAAACTAGTGCACTAGGCAGAGCTCTTAATTTGAATAGAAGACTTGTTTTAAGTTGAACTATTGTACTTATTAAGCACCTCCTGAAATAGCTACATATTAGATTTTCTTAATTACAATATGCCTGCTTTCCTAACTGATTATTATTAATAATTCTCATTCTTATAGAGATTTTCACAAATATGTCTAAAACATCTGTATGTTTTCCCTCAAAGCATATGTACACATTTTTAAATAATCTCTACTATTCAAACAAACATAAAAATTCCTTTTGCTTCTACAAGTACTAGGACCAAGTGTCACTTGAGGTTAGGCTAACAAAGTTTCCAGATATAAAATAAGCATGGATGAAGTATGATAATTATATTACTCTTTCAATCTGCCAGTCCTAGAAATTCTCTTTTTTGAATAGTAACATCCTAAGATTTTTAATGTAAACATTCTAGCTGAAAGAAGAGAAGATGGACCAGATTATGTCTACAAACCTTCCTATTAATGAATTCCAGTACTTAGAATCTAAACTTATGAACATTCTTTGTCAAATCTGTTTATAGTCAATGTTTATTCCATCATGTTTAGAAATGAATACCCACTGAAATCAATTTACAATTGATATTTGGGATATTTTGATATTAAAACAAAATATTGAATCTCAATAAATCATAAAATAATAACCTTCTTTCTGGGCAAAATAACACAGCTTGGGAGGCTGAGGCAGGAGGATCTCAAGTTCAACGCCAGCTTCAGCAACTTAGTGAGGCCCTAAGCAACTCAGAAAGACCCTGTATCTTAAGTAAAATATTAAAAAGGGCTAGGCATATAGATCAGTGGTTAAGTGTCCCTGGTTCAATCCTTGGTACCAAAAAAGAAACAACCTGTCCCCCTTCCCCCACACACACATCATTCCATTTCCAATGTAATAGTCTTCCCTGACATTTAGTATTATATTTCTAGATTACCACAAGCTTTTATTTACCTTCTAAGGTCTGCAAACACATGATTAAAAGCAACTCATCCATTGTCTTCTAACTGAAAAGAATCACGCTTACCGTGAAGCCCTCGGTATACTGAAAAGGAGCCCTGGAACTTTCGTCTGCTGTTGGACTCAGAGGCTTGGGGTCAGACATAGAACGCTGCATCATCTTGGCTGTCTTAGGACTTGCTGGGGGAACTTTAGCCATATCTGGATGCAGTACTTTCTGTGGACTTATATCATCAGGGAGGGGTTTTTCATAAGGTACAAAGGCTGATTCTAAGGCTTTGCCTGATGAAAGTGGTGAGATGGGTGAATAAAGGACTTTTGGAGATTTGGGAGGGGAAGGAGCCAGCTGGAGTGTGGAATCTGCCCGAAGGTGAGTTGAATAACCAATCTCTAAAGGTGTTGGGCGTTTCTTGTCTTTGGGTGGAGATGTGGCACTCAGATATTGAGGACTTTGTGTGTCTGAATCTGCTTCTGTTTGACATCCTAAACTGCCCCCTTTGTAAGTCTTTTCAGGTGCTGAAATGTGTTTAATTATTTCTACCTTAGCGTCCACTCGAGCTCGTACGGAAGGTGTTCTTATGGTTCCAACTGGTTCAGTTTGCACAGATATCTCTGCTACTGTCTGGACCGCTATGCTGGAGACTTTAGAAGGGGGTTTGGTCTTGTCAGCCTCTGCTGTGCTGTCACCATATTTCCCTGCCCGAGCCTTTCTCCTTGACCGAGCGGGCATGTCCCACTCGTCCTGATCTTCATCATCAGTTTGGACACTGGTATCAACGCTTTTTCTAGTTCTCCTTCTCCTGCTTGCACAGCTCCGATCAGCAGCATCTTCATCGTCTGTTTGTACACCACTGTCCACTATTTTTTTAAAACTTCGGGGATCGTCTGCCATACTTTCCCCCATCTCATCATACTGTCCCCGGACTTTCGCTCCAGAACTTCTCTTTTTGGGTGGTTTTTCCTCTTTTACAACAACATCTGTTAGTGGTATTTCTGAGACAGTACTCAGGATGCCAGGTGGGGCAATGTACTGTGTGACACCATCAGACTGGACAGTGTACCATCCTTGACTCTGTGGTATCTCAATGGCCACTACAGTGGAAGCTGTGGTCGTTGCATCTTCAGTTGCCCAAAACTGACCACCTTCTGGGGCAGCATACTGACCTTCCAAAATTGCCTGCTCTGTAGTAGTTTGTGGGGAAGCAGTTCCAGAAGGGTCATAATTATACTGGTAGATCTGGCGAATCTTCTGCTCCTCTAGCTGCTGGTGAAGCTGTTGTTGCAGCTGCTGGATCTGCTCGAGCTGTAATTGCTGCTGGGCTAGTGTCTCCTGCCTCATCATGAACTGGGCCTGCCGCTCTTCTTCTTGCTGATAGAGAAGGTGCTGCTTCATAGACTGCAGCTCCTCCAGCTTTTTTTGAACCATGATCTTTTCTTGTTCTCGGAACCTTTGAATTTCCTGTCGCTCCCACTCTAGTTCCTCAGCAAAGCGCTGTTGCTTAATTTTCTCCAGTTCTAGGAGCTCACGCTCTAAGTCAAGTTGCTGCTGCTGTTTGTCTTCTCCAGGGACAATTAAAAGAGTGCTTTCATCTCCCACCATTTCAGAAAATATTTCAGATGCTGTGGTTAAAGTGGGAACAGAGTCTACTGTCTCAGCAGTGAGGGTTTCCATAGTAATAGTTTGCAAGCTGGCATTGATATCAATACCAGTCACTGCAATGTCTGTTTCGGATGCACCTGTTGTTATGAAATATGATCTAGCCATAGGCTGGCTCTGGTGCAGGGCAGATAATGAAGTCACTGAATCAGTTGTATGAATACCAGACAAATCCCTCACAGTGGTGCTGAAAATAGAGCCAGGTTGTGTGGTAATGGCAAATGTGGAGGGGATCGGAGTTGCTACTGAAGAATAGACAACACCATTAGATGACCTCAAAACACTGCCCACACCATATTGGGGTGCTGGAGGTGGAGTCATTCTTGCTGTGGAATACTGTGGAGTACTAATTCCAACTCCTGAAATGACTTGTCTTGTTTCTGGATATGGACCTGTAGTCTTGCTTGAATAATCCATTACCTCACCTGAAATACAGGGTAGAGTTATAGTCCAGTTCTCAGAACGAATGATGCTTTTTGGGTATCTCATCTTGATGAATATAATGAATGGGACCACATGCAAATCCATAGGTTAACCTAATTATGTGCGGAATAAAAGCAATGTTGAACATGCAGGCACATGCAGGCAACTCTGGGAAGAACAAATTAAAAACTGAAGAAACAAAAGCGCACATGTACTCAAAAAATATGTTGCCAAAACATCCAAAGAAAGAGAAAAAGTAACAAAATTGGAATGGGGACCGCATTTTCATCCTGAAATGAGATGAGGAACACCATAATGATATTTCAAGGAAAGGTCTGTTGCCATATCATACTGACCTGTAGTAATTCTCCCTGAAGTTAGATCTACTGCTGCATCAGTTCCTCCAGAATAATCAAAAGCATTCTTACTTTTATAGAAGAAATGTCCAGCATCTGCTAAGTTAGTGTCAGACATAGAAGGTTTCATTCCACCAATCCCTTTGTAACCATATGGCCCTGAACGGTCATATTGATAGTGGTCATCTCTATAACCAAAGCGATCCTCAGGCAGAGTAGTTGCAGGCTGCTGTGCTGTACAGCTCCTTCCAAAAGGTAACTTATAAACCATGTCACAGCACACTGCTCTTCTTCCTGCAGTCAAATCCACAGGTTTTTCATCATCTTCTATTATTTTGGTCACTACACTTGAAGTAGATTCGTCCATTGTTACAACAGTTCTATGAGACTTTGTTGTACTGAGATCCACCACTTCCCCATCAGTGATCCCCTGAGATGTAATACTATCAGTCCATCCATTTGTGACACCAACAGGAGGCACAGTGACAGGTTTTGTAATGGCCGATGTTACTGCATGTGCTGAAGTACTTAGAGATAAGTTGATTGGAGCTTCCTCTCTAACTGCAGCAAAGGCCTGGCTAATTGGCATCCTGTATGGGGACTCAGCATGCTTTGTTTTAGTAAGCTGGAGTGGTGCTGTCATTGTATGTTCTATACTCATTAGGCTTTCTGTGACTGTAGTATAACTTGTAGTAGCTGTGCATGCAGCAATAGTCACTGTCTCAGTGTCCAGGGATACTGGTGTCACAACTGATGAAGTTGCACTGAGGTTTATAATGGAAGGTTGAACAGCACTAATTTGTCTACCATAAACTTCATTTGCTGTGGTCTGTCTCCTCACATCCATTGCAGAAGCAGAAAGATCCATACATTTTTCAGTTGCTTTAACTTCTACTTTTGGTACTGTACGCAAATCAATGACATCACCAACAAGTTGCAACTTTCCGTTTTCCTTGTACTGATGCTTCTCTGAATGTAGGCTATCTAGAGCAAGAGGCTCTGGAGGAATTGATATAGAAACACTGCTGGGACCAACACTAGGGGCTATACTTCTAGCAACTGAAACCTCAGCCTTGGAGACCTCAGTTGTGTGAAACTGTGTAACTGAAGTTGGAGCTGCTTGAAATGAAGATGGTGTTACAACAGGGGCAGCAGAGAATGTCTCCAAAGCTCCTGAAATGTATAGCATTTCCTGAGAACTTGGAATTTCTGTAGATGTTATAGGAGGAACTACAGAAAACACTGGTTCAATGGAAACCAGATCTTTTGGGGGTGATCCCAGGGGCCAACTGGTAATTGCTTGACTAGCTGAAGAATCTGTTGGAGTTCCAGGTTCAGATGGCAGTGTAATAACCACATAGGTTTCCATGAGGGATTTGGAAAATCTTGGTGAAGATTTGTTAGAGTGTGGGGAAAGTGGGGAGGTAGGGGAAGGCAATTTATAATCTGCTGAGGTCACTAAATTTAAGGTCATACTTGAAGTTAAAGATAGACCTGTTGGTTTGGGATATGTATCTGTTGGTTTTTGTGCAGTTACTGGTTGCTGAGGAACTACTGGTTTGGGGGCAATTGGAGGTTTGCTTGGCTCAGGCCTATGTGTAAATACAAGTCCAGATGGAATTGAAGAAGGCTTAGGAGGGACAGGAGGAGGGGCAGAGGTACATATTTTTGTTACCGGTAACTCATCACCCCTCTGAACAATTGGTGCCCCTATAGTAGTAATAGCATCAGCCAGAGGTGTAGCAGGAGTAACTGGAGTCACTGGAGCTGCAACTGTGAGCTTTTTTTTAGGATGAATAGTTGGTTTAGGTGAGGTTGGTGGGGGGAGAGGTGGGGGAGGAGGGGGAGGGGGAGGGGGTGGGGGAGGAGGAGGTGGAGGTGGAGGAGGGGGAGGAGGTTGTGCTGATATGTCCAAAGAAGAACTTCGGAGGAATGGACGAGATTTAGTTGGAAGAGAAGGAGCAGAAGGACTGCCAGATGGTAACTGTGATGGAGGTTTTTCCTGGCCAAAGACATCTCTGGGTAAAAAGTAGGTAGACGAAAGCTGCTCCTTCATTGGAAAGGCTGTTGTAGAGGAAGGTAGTTGGTCAAACATAGGTTCAGATAAGCTAATTTTTGTTAGTTCAGCCTCAGACTCTTTTGTTTTATCTTCATAAGCTTCCAAAACTTCCAGAATCATTCCATTCTCAGTTTCCTTCTTGGCTTTTTTCACTGGCTCTTTTTCAGATATAGATAAGTCAGTGGAAATAGTGTCAGCAGTTGGCTCCTCAGGTTTAGTTCCTACAGATTCTGTGATAGAAGGTACTTCATCAGATAAGGGAATAACAACGTGATCAGCACTAGCTCTACCTCCTGGTGTGGTGGTTCTATCTAAAGATACACTTATTTCTTCTGGATAGTCTATAATGCTGCCTGGAAAATAGGTCGATGAAGAAATTTCCTCAGAATCCTCAAATTTAGTTATGATGTCCACTGGCTCTGCATAAACTGTGGTTATACTGTCCAAGGTAGCAATAGGTGAGGAGCTATCTGTGGTACAAACTGAAGAAACAGATGATGTGAGAGAAGGTGTATCAGAAGGTGGGACAGATGTTGCACTTTCTGAAGGCTCAGAGTAAGTCAAAATCAGTGATTCATGGGCAATTATTTCTTGAATTTCTCTTGTATAATCAGTTACATATTCATCCTCAATTTCATCTGTTGAAAAGTGTTGGGTTATTTTAACATCTGGAATAGAGAGTGTTGCACTGCTGGTTGAATCTGTAAGTGATGCTCCTGAGAGAACACTTGATGTCAAAGATGCATCTGGCACCCTGTCAAAGTCCATGGTGGACTCTGTCATGTCATCCCCTAGTGGGGGCTGGGTGGGGCTGGATCCAGGTGTTAACTGCATCTGTTGCCGCTTCATGAGTTCTTCATAGGCAGCATCAGCATCTAATAATTTTTTTTCTTCACTGGTAGAAGTGACCATAGCACCCAGATCTACTATCTCATGGCTTTCTGGAATGATGTAAGAGCTTGAAACAATGTCTTCTTGAGGCACAAGAGAATGCAAACTTTCCAATTCATAAAACTCTTTCTGGAGATCTGTAATTTTCTGCATGGGATCTTCATAAATCTGTTCTGAGAGTCTAATTTTTTGCTCTCTTCCTCTCTGCTGTATGAATCCATTTTCTTCTTCTGGCCTTGTTAGCAGACTGCCATCTACTGACCCATTGTATGTGTCCTCTACTAAAGATTCATAAATGTAATCCTCTATTAGCATCCCACCATACAAAGGCTCTTTTTCAAACACCTCATCTCGTTCATTTGCAGTTGGAAAAGCTTTATATTTGTGGGTTTTATGCATCATTTCTTCATACATCTCCTCAGCACTTTTTAATGCCTTTTGACCACCTTCTTTCTGCATAATAGATTGCTCATCTGTTGGAGAGTATAAAGACACAGCTGTGGGCAATTTATAAACTTTCTGTACTTCTATTATTTTTTCTGGGCTGATTTCAAAACCTTCTGGGTCTGATTCTATGCTAGGTGAGTATTCAGAACATGAAGACCTATGGAGCTCCTCCATTTCTGCTGCTTGGCGTAATTCTTCGGTTGGAGACGCATCTTCTATGGGAGAGAGATTACTGGGTGGAGTCTTTGGTCTTTCCCTCCTCCTCTGAGCTCGAAGTTCATCTTTGTCTTTCTTTGATTTCTTACTAGAACTCTTTCTTTGTTGCTGTTCTAATTCCCGCTGTTTTTCTTGCTCTTTTAATAATTCTTCTTCCTCTCTCAATTCTTCTTCTTCTGAAGAATCTTCAATGGTAGGTAACAGAGGGCCATGTGATCTGTGCCGGGCTTTGCGTTGCTGTTTGCTTTCTCCTTTTTTGTGACTTGGGCTACTGTCACTGTCCTCATCAAGTGAGGACACAGATGTAGGAGATGTACCAGGAGTGAAGCTGGAAGCATGAAGACTAGAAGACCCTTCTCCCCTGGACCTGTCTTCTGGTGAATCTGTCAAGCTTTCCATTTCCAATTCTGGCTCTTCGTCAAAATACAAAGTTGCTTTTTTCTGCGATGGCTCTGCCGAATATTTATCTGCTATGGTGCTGTTCAGTTCAATTGTTTTAAATCGACGGAGCCCGCCTCCTCCAGCAACTACAAGTTCTTCGCTTTCCTGACTTTTAGTTTCTCTGTATTTCAGCTCTGGACTTTCGTCAAATGTCTCATCATCCTCATCGTGCCACGAATGACGCCTCCCTGCATCATCATCGAAGCTTGCACTACTTTTTCGAGTCAGTCGTCTGTGTTTCCCTGCAGTAGCTTTCCCTTTCCCCTTCATTTCCTCCTTCTTGTGGCTCTCAGTGATACTGCTCAGCTCTTTGAGCTGGTTTCGGATGAACTCGTCATCTTCTGAAGCAGAAGCATCTTCATCAGCGCTCATTTCTATGATTTGCTTTCGAATGAAGTCCTCGTCTTCCCCGGACCCTTGACTGTCTTCCTGTTTGTACTCTTCACTGCTCGATGAGCCAACACTAGTTCTCCGTTTTCTTTGTGGGACAGGTGAGTTTTCGCTTTCACTACTGTCATCAACTGAATCATAGGGCTGTCTTCTCGTAGGTACATCATCGAAAAACTCAGACTTTTCTTTAGGGTCCTTACTAGAAGGAATGGCTTGTTGGCCATCCTTTTTGGAAGTCTCCTTCTTTTCTTCTTGAGTCTCCTTGAGCTCCTCTTCTGGAACAGTAACTTCCAGTGTTTCTGAAGAAATCTGCATTTTCAGCTGGTCCGCAGGCTGCTCAGGAGAAACCTCCTGGGGTTGTGCTTTCTTTTCTGACTTTTCATCAAGTGCACTTGCCTGAGCTTCCAGAATAGACAGGACTGTACTTTCTAACTTAGCTAAGTCTGAGGGGCTGGAAGGACTGCTTTCTTGTGAAAAAGAGTCCTTTTTGAGTCCCTTAAGCAAATCCTTTTCATCACTTGGAATAAGACTTGGAATTTCACCAAGTGAACCTGATATTCCATCAGAAGAATATCCCGTGTCACTCAGGCCTTGTGGGCTTTTAGGCTGCTGAGAACTTGAGGTGTCTGATTTGTCCTCTTCCTTTTCCTAACAGAAAGGAAAAGATACAGGAAAACTTAACATGGTTAAATTTAACACATGGCCTCTCCATCACTCCCAAATAGCAATTAAAAACTGAGAAATAGTTGTGGAAATTCTTTTCAGCTACCTAACTGCAAGCCACTATTTAAAAAAAAGAAGTTAAAATGAGAATAAAAAATGAAAATAGTTGATACATATTGATCAAGGTTTAGTTTTATTTTTACTAAGTTTAATTTATATGCCAATTCATAATTATCTTTTATTCTTTCATTAATACTCTACCCTTTTACATTTCAGGTTCACTTTCCTTCAAATTTACTTTCAGTATATTTACTTTGTGATATAATTCAAATTGTGGAGAAAAATTTTAATGATTACTTTGCTACTGACATAATTAAACTTTGGATTATGAGGTCCAGAAAAGGAGAACAAAGAATAAACTTGAATGCAAGTTATACTTGTGATAAAAAATTTACTTAACAAAATAAGCAAATCACATGATAATACTACATGTGTCTCCTACTACAAAGGAAAGCTATAAAAAATTATATATACTTGGTATTGCTAATATTATTACTCTATATCATTTGTAATGAATGTTTAGAAATTGTAAACTTTAAAAAATCATGCAATACTTATTGTACTCATCAGTTCAGCTAAAGAGAAATATTTAATTTGTTATGTTATCTCCAGCATCCCCCTTCAATGTTCAGATACTGCTTATGTCACTGATTTTGAAATTACTTGGTGTTTTATCCTGAAGAAAGATACCTTCAACCAGTACAATAATTTTTGAGTGGAAATATGGGTTTTCCAGGGACCCAGAACACAGTATAAGTTAAGTATACAACTTAGCCTGGACCTGGCTGCTTTCCTGTGCTGTGATGATGCCACACCAACAGCCTTAGTTCAAGAAAATGTTAATAAAATAAATGAAAATGTTAAGCATGCAGACATTTTGCATAAAGTTTTTGCTAATTAAAAATACTCATGAACTGAGCTAGATAGTTCCCATGTTTAGAGGGTGTCACAATAGAGGAAGAGCTGCATGAGAACACATTGCATCTCATGCTGGCATAGGAGGCATCTCCATTTCACTATGTCTGCGTTGTGAACTATCCAGACACTCTTAGTAGGTTTGTGGGTGTAGGCTCTTCTTATCTGTCCATAGCTCAAAAGAACACACATCAGGATGTACTAACAGACATATGAAACACCTTTTCTTTCTCTCCCACCTGCCTCCCTCTTCCACCTCCCTCTATTTCCTTCTCCTTTACCGTCTAGCTATAGAGTTATCAAATATAAATACTGCTGGCTTAATACTGTTTTACATTCAGTTTCATCAATATATACCTTTATTGTATATGGATAACAACATATCCTGAGCAAATTATAGGGTAAAAGGTTTTGCAGAATTTATAAAATGATTCGATTCATAAATACAGTCTAACATATTCTTAATAACATTAGTGCAGAAAGCAATTTTAACTCTTCCTGGATCATTTCCAATGTCTTTCTAAGCATAAAATGCTTATCTGGAGCAGTGAGACTATTACAGCAGTGCTATTGAGCACCAAACTCACTTTAATTCCTTTATTTTAGGAGCCACACATTGAAGAATCAAGCAAAGGTGAAGCAACCTTCTAACAAAAGGTTTCTATATGGTCATAGTTCAGGGACATTCCTATCTCATCACATTTCACAAAATGTCATAGCACAATTTTTTTTTTTACTCCAGACTGCTTTAGTTAGTGTCATTGATCCTTCACTGATTCAGTAAATAACATTACTCTGGAAGTAGGGTACCTAAGCTCTTGGAGGAAAACATGACAAGAATATGATCTTCCATAATCAAATTTTGATGGTTCATTTATAATCTTTGTTTTATATCTACATATATTGCAAAATATAACAAGTCAATAAAAGTACCTATATACACATTGTGATGAATGAAAGGAACTATTATTTATGATACTTAATTCAGAATAATATAAGATAAATTATAGTTTTATCCCACAGGTTCTGAGACTCTACTGTTATGGTTTGAATGTGATATGTCCCCTAAAAGTTCATGTGTGAGACAATGCAGAAGGTTTTGAGGAGAAATGATGGGGTTTTGAGAGCCTTAACCCTATCCTGAATTAATCATTAATCCCCTTATGGGATTAACTGAGTGGTAACTAAAGGTAAGTAGAGTGTGGCTAGAGGAGGTAGGTAACTGGGTATGCCTTTGAGGTACATATTTTGTATCTGACAAGTGGAGTCTCTCTGCCTCCTGATCATCATATGAGCTGATTTCCTCCACCATACTCTGCCTTGGTATTGTTCTGCCTCACCATAAGCCCCAGTGGAGTCAGCTGTCTATGGACTGAGACCTCTGAAACTGTGAGCTCCTAATAAACTTCTCTCCTCTAAAATTGTTTTTGCCAGGTCTTTTAATCACACCAATGAAAAAGCTGACTAAAACATCCATGAACATTTAACAAAAATAAGATTTGGACCAGACATACATAGGTAACAAAGGAAATCACAGATATTAGATAAAACTGACATGAATTTCAAAATACCCACTCTACCAGCCCCTTAGGTCACATTTTACTATATGTCCATTCTTTCCTTCTTTCTCAGTACTATGTTCTATCCATTTATCCTCCTGGTCCTGGTCTCTTTCCTCTATATACTCTTCATAAGATCAAATTCATATTTGCCTGAGGTGGTAATACTATGATGATTTTTTTTCTTTACTTAATAATATTTTCCTATTTCACATTATAAGGTGACAAGTCTGTAAAATGTTTGCTCTACAGGCTTCTGGGTCTAAGACAAAATGTTGGAAGTGGTTAATAAGGAAGTCAAGTTAGTTGACCAAAAGGTGATAGGCTGAAATATTCAGAATGAAAATAGGTCATTTACTTTTTATACCAGAACATGTCAAAAAAATTAATAGTGTCAATTTTCTTCACACTAACTAGCTTTAGGTATGAAATCCCCTAATACAGTGTCCTTCTACTTCATTAAACTGTTAGCTTGTGAGTCATCAGCAGACACTAGCCAGGTCTGTTGCCTCTTGGATTTAAGGCACCAATCATTTTTAAAAAGTTGTTTATACACAGAGATTGGCATACTAAAGCAATTATCCACTGTCCATCCATTTTGTTCTTCCAGTACTACTTACTTGGTTTTGTGAGAGTTCTAGGTTAGAACAAGAGTGCAATTTGCACTCATTCAGTCTATATTGCTTTTAACTTGTCTATATTGCTTAACACTACTTCATTAATAACATCGTCTAATGGGGGAAATTAGATCCAATGCAAAATAGTAGATGAAACAGAGAAGAATGCAAAACATGATGTGTAAGATGGAGCTGTTTTCTCTAATTACCCACCTTCAAACAAGTGTCTGAAGTTCTATAAACTAGAAGAATATGGTCAAAGGATTTGAAGGTGGCATAATTCAGCTCATTTTCTCCTAAACTCCACAGGACTAAAAGATTGGGAATTTTTTTCTCAGTTGCTTCAAAAGTGTGTGAGGGTGTACTTATTTTAAAGAATATGAAGTTATTTAGTAACATAATATTTAATGACAGGAATTTATTTGAATTGTTTTTGATAAATTATACATTTAAATATGCAATACATTTATTTATATATATATATATATATATATATATATACACACACACACACACACACACACACACATATACATGTGTGTATGAATATCACTGATTTAAAACAAATATCCATTTTTCTCATTTTAATATTCAGGAAATTGGCATTTTTATTAAGTGTTTCACATTTTACATGTAATACAATTTAGAATAATCTGTGCTATGTAAATTCATATAATTCATATGTTCCTTTTGCATAAAATTTTTCTTTGTCATCTTTGATGTAGGCAGTGAGAATAGGTATAATTTAAACATACTTTTAAAAATAGCAACATCATTTTTCATTTCCCCTGAGAAAAACATTTTCTATGTATTTTTTAAACATTTAGCATTAGATTGTATTACAATCACTTTTATTTTTACTATACGTTGCATTTTCCCATATACAGAATTATGACTACTTAAGTCTTTCTATTCTGTGAATATAAAAAAAAAAACAATTACTTGAAAATTCTAAAGTCTAGGGTTCTTTTTTTTTAAGTTTAATAGCTAAAAGCAGAAAGTAAAGATTTTCCTTCCAACATGCCACCACCATTTACTGAATGATAGACCACTGAGAGGAAAGTACTGATAAATTAAGCCTCATTTGAAACTCTTCTGATAGTAGCATATCTTCAAGCATTTACTAGTACTGAAGAATGTGCCAAAACACATTCAGTATCAAATCTGGCTGTGCCCTGTCCACAACTGTTGAAGCTTTTAGCTTTCCCCATTGAAGGCATATAGAATATTGCTGGGAATAGGAACTGAATTCTAGGTTATTTACAAATGTATGCAAAGAAAAGGCCACAATAAGTGTTTGGTTAATTTTCCCAAAGTCATTTAGTTTTAATGGGCTAAAATTAAGCAACAAATGATCTTTAATTATTATACAAAGTTTATGTAAACATGTATTCCTGATCTGAGTGTTTGAAGCACTCCAAACTATATTATATCTAGAAAACTTACAGGGCCTGAACAAAGGATGGAATAATTCCACTTAAGCACTGTGATATAGGAGTTTTTGTCACTACAGAAAATGTGATTAATTTTCACCCTCATAAAATATGACTACACAATAGCTGTATGTAACTTGAATACTAACCTTCAGTTATTTTAAACAGAAAGTACATGCTAAAGCCTGTTCACAGTTCACTTTTGATCAAGAAGGCTATCCTATTCCAGTATAACATATCAAATATAGACTTCAATAGTATTCTGTTTAAGTATATAGGTCAAAAGACAGATTTTTTTGTAGCAACATTACTTTTTTAAAAAGTTAAAAGGTATACTTTTCAAATTCATTATTATATTTCAGGGTTAATTTTTATTTTACCTGACAAACACATTTTAAAAG